ACTACACACACACACACGACGACGACACACTACACTNTCATATATATATATATATATATATATATATATATATATATACAACGGCTGGCCACCAAGATGGTTCATAACCATCTCTGCGTTATTCGCCCACATTTACCGTTTCTGTTAATACTTTCATGTATACTTATATTTGTTGGAAATAAAGTTTACTCATCACATTGAGTCCCCCCCAACCCCCACCCCCCAACTTCGCGCCTCTCGTGGGCCACACAAGGCGCCTGCGAGCCTGTCAGCGGCCTCACAGACGCCATCCCTCAACCTCATGCAGGCAATGGCGTCAGTTTTTTCTCATCCCATCCCGCGCCGAGCCACAGGATGGAGCCAAAGAGAAGCAGGCGGGCAAGATCCAGCAAACCCAGCCCCACCGTTCCCACATACCAACGCATAAACTCCAGATGCGTACTGTACAGTGCCGCCCCTTCCTCAAGCAGCATGGAGAAGTAGAAGGCGGAGCAGGCAAAAGAGAAGACCAGCTGTGTGGCGTAAAGTACACGCAGCTGTCGGTTCAACATCGCCCCGGCGGGGGGCAACGAGGCACTAAATAAATCGACGCTACTCAGTGCGGCCACCACGGCGACAGGTGAGAATGAAGACGGGGCGGAGGGTACCCGAAAGGAGCGTCCGAAACGCAGCCACCCAAACACTTGCAGCAACAACCCCACATCACAACCGAGGACGTAGAGGGTTCCGCACGCCGCCAGGTACCCCGTCACTGTCCCCACCCAGAAGAATAAATGATGCAGATGGAAAAGAATGAGAGCAAACAGGAACACCATATTGACTGCAACGAGAAATAGACCACGTTGATGGATAAGACGCGGAACACATTTGACACCGGTTTTGAGCTTCTGTCGCCCACAGGCATGATCAAGCCGCGAGGCATGGCTCGGTATGATCCCAGCATCACCGTGGGCATCCGTTGTCTGTTTGGCGGAAAGGATGAAGCCCATCTTTGAAGAAGGTTTCTGCCTCGCCTCGGCGCAGCGTTCCGCCCACACGGAAGTGTGATAACTCCCTTCTCCAACATCTAGACCGACAGCCATTGCCGTTGCCGCCGCGCCCCCCAGATGCATGGCGGGGGTTAAACCCAAAGAACGCAACAAAGGTGATCTACGACGCCTTCGTCTGCCAACAGCAGGATCGGTGACAACGTACAACATCATGTCTGAACTACAAAGCAGAAACGCATACAAAACCTGCGAGGGGCGCAAAAAATACGTCAGGCAATTGGAGATCACGGAGAGCCAATTCACACCTACCATGATGCGCTGCGTCAAAGACAGCGAATACAGACGTACTGTGGGGTCTGCGCCGTCAGTCGCATCCTCAGCATTGTCGTTGCCGCTGTCATCGTCGTCAGCGCGGTAGCAAACATCGGCGTCGTCCACAGCAGCCCCCGCCACCTCATCCTCGCAAAGAGGTGCGGAATAGTCATAACCAGGCGGGTGAGGTCCCCCGCGGTGTCCTCCCATGTCCACACTCGTGTGCAACTGCGATCTGCCCCCCAAAACTGACGTTGGTCTTGTTGCTGCCGCTCCCCCAACAGCCGCAGCGGCAAAAGGGGGAGTGAAAGAACGTCGTGATGCGGAGGTGGAGCAAGCCTGGGCGATACGTTCCGCCTCTGGTGCGGACAACCCAAGCGCCGCGCTACCGGCTGTCTGAGTCTCGGTTAAAAGCCTCACTTTACATGCAATAGACACCAGACAGCACAGGAAGATACCGACATCCGCGCAATTCATCGGTTGTGCAACAACAACAGAAAGAAGAAGCAACCTTCTCCGCCACGCCCTTCCCTGCTCCTTTTCTTACAGCAAAAACACAGTGCTATCTTACGGCCCGTGGGTGGAGGCGCGTCCACCCCACCCACCTCTCCCTCTCTCTATCGTTTTCCCTCACTGCCCCAGTTGCTTGCTATGAGATGCCTCAGACACTACACACGCACCGAAAACAGGCGGGGTCTCCAGCGGAGGACTGCGTGCACCGCGCCGCCTCACCCCCACCACACCCTGACCCTCCAACAGGCAGATAAAAAAGAACAAACAACGCGGAAAAGCTTGTCGCAACGTAGAAACTGCAGGTCTATATATATACGTACATTCGCGCAGGTGTACTCCAGCGACAGTACACAAAAATAGAAATCACTCAGAGAGAAAGTTGCTGCGACGTATGCCTCAAAATAAATATAAAAAAGTGACGGAGAAGACTTCACGACACCCCATTTTCTCTTTATTTATTTCCCTTCCCCTTCCCCTTCCCCACCAGCCACTCTTGCAGTAAATACGGCGGAGCGGGGTGGGAACCCACAAGGCAAACGAACAAACGAACAAGTTCCGCCTGAAAGATGTGTGATGAAATTTATCTCTGTAGATGCAACGTGCAGAAGCGTGCCCATCTATGACCCGTCACCGCCCTCTTCGCAGTGAGGGGTACAAACAATCAATCTATATAAGTGCCTTACCTCCGCCTTCCACCACCCCGCGTCCCCCCACGAACCATTTGGAGAGGGGACGAGTGAACAGGTAGGAAATGTGAGAACCAAGTCAAACCAACGACACGTAGAAGGAAATAAGAAGGTCACAATAAAAAAGAAAAAAAAAAGGAACTATATTCCTATTGCCGTCGATGCAGAAACCTCCAGTATTCCCGAGGACAACATGGAGTGGGGAGGATACTGCAACGCGCACAGTTGTTCGTAGTGCTGCTCAGCATGGGCCAGCGCAACCACCTTTTGCCACACACTGCCCTCCCTGGGCGTCAGTGGAGCAGGCACCGACGGAACTCCTCTATCACTACCTTCACTCCTTTCCGCTTCTCCCTCCTCTACACCGTCCCGTTCGCTCGCACCTTCGTAGCTGTCACCGCTGCTGGTGCAGAGATGCTGCGGCACAACGTAGAGCGGTGGTGCCGCGGGGATGTTGCCAACAGACGCGGTTGACACAACACCGACGTTATCGCCGAGTCGCAGGAACGGCAATGCATCTGACCGTTTTTGCTCATTATCCAATGACCCTGAAAGAAACACGGGTTCCGTGAAGCTCTGCAGAGACCCCGCCGCCGCAACATTGGCGGAGGGTGCCTTTCTCCCGCCCTTCGCAAACAGAAATGCGCTGCTGGTCAACTTGGAGGACACGGATGGCGCTCCTCGCTCTCCTCGCCTCGATCCCTCCGGGGAGTCAAAGAGTCTTCGTTCCGCGAACGAGGCCCGCGCAGAAGGGGATGCAGTTACTGCACCGTCACGTGAAGGTGTTGTTGTTGTTGTTGTTGATGTTGACCTCATGCGGAACTCGGGCGTGTCCGCCGCCTTTCCCCCACAAGCAACGGCTTCGTCCTGCCTGCACGGCTCCCGAACAAATGGCAACCAGTCACGACAACACGTACTCTCCGTTGCGCTGCATGCCTGCCTGGTGTTGGGCGTCATTGTGGAGAAGGACGGCATGGGTTGAAAAGAGCTCGGCGCGTGTGACTCATACGAGCACGAGGATGCCGCACACCGCTGCGTTCTCTCGCGGTGTCGCCACTCACTACCCCCACTACCAACGTCAGCGGTGGCGGCGGCAGCGAAAGCCATATGCGCCGGAGAGCTATCCGCAGCGTCGGGTGTCAGCCCCGCGCTTTCCCCACTGTCCACTGCGGTGGTATCCGCAGTGGGCGACATCCCCTTCGTGGGGCAAATATGGTCTGCACCACAGTGGAAGGCAAACATCTCTCCCCCCTCAGCTGAGACCTCGCCGTTGTCGCCCGCGTCATGCTTCGGTGTAGACGCCACCTCCTGCAATCCACCTCCCCACCGCGTGTCGGGGACCAAACAGGACGCTCTACTGCGAGAGCACTCTGCCACCGTCTCACGAAGATCCGTTAGAGTGAAGTAAAGCCGTTTAAACTCGTTTTCCGCCCCGTCCTGAACGTCACTGTACGTGTGCGTTTGAGCTTCCACCACGGCCGCGCGGGGCGCCAATCTCTTGCTAGGCAGCAGCGCGGACTCACAGCGACCCACACGGCGCTCAATGTTGTTCAACCTGCAGTGTAGCTGCCGCTGCCACATCTTCATTTGCTGCTCCAAGTTAAGAAACCCCTCCGCAACATGGCGCAGCGCCACCGCCGGCTGAACCCAGGCGTCAGAGTGGTGTGCAGGCCGTGTTGAATACAACTGTGCATGCCCTCTGCCATCGAGAGCTCGCGCCGAGAGATCATAACTGTCACCACTTAGCAGTGGCATGAGTACCCCTCTCACAGAGTCTTTCTGCAGAGTTGCTGTGGAACTTCTCGATGCCCGTCTTTTAGAGTAGCCGCTGCTGTCGCAAGACCCTCTACTCTCCTTCCCCACGGTTGTATATGTGTATATGTGTGTGTGCCTGCACATATGACTGCAACCTCTCGTCTTTCCCACGATACACGCTTCCCCACAGCAGTAAGAAAACAATATATATATATATATATATATATACCAAAATTAAAAGTGAAAAATAAATAAATAAATGTGGAGCGGCAGCTCAGCACGACAAGACGGACGTCGCGTGCACTCCATCCACTTGCAACCACGCGTGCGCAGCCCCAAATGACAAACAGGCAACTGCCCACATGCACACAGAAAGAAAAAAAAGAGAGAGTATGTGTGTGTGTGTGTGTGCAGCATCAGCAAGACCAAAAAAAACAAAAACAAATACAAACTGATAACAAATACGCAAGACATGTACATATACATATATATTTTCCCTTCTTATTGTCCTGCCAGAGATGTGAGGTGTCACAGTGGTCCACGCCACAAACCACGCAACGCAACACACAAAGGAGGGGCAGCAAGAGGGGCAAAAACCAACAACAACAGTCAGAGGCACACGTACACAAACGTTGGCATGGAGATTGTTGAGTGGGTGGGTAAGTGAGTGAGTGAGTCAGGGAGATAAAATAGATTTTATATTTGCCTTCATGGAAACAATTATTCCAGACATACACAAGGAGAATATGCTTCACAATTCACCCATGTACATAGTAACGTCCCCATTGGTCCTTCGAACCTTTGTCTCCTCCTCTGATGAAACATTCCATCGTTCTTACTTGTCTCTCTTCATGCCACCCGGTAAACTCGGTTCGTTTCCATTCTACCTCTTTTTTGTTTCCGTTAGTTGTTGCACTCTTCTTGCATTTGGTGGTGGCGCATCACCCCTCCTCCCCCACCAAACGTCACTTCAACTTCGTCATCCACGTCGTCTCATCCGGGTATTCACAGTTAATGTTCGTCGTCGCGTCGTACGGCCTACACACCTGGTGGGTGGCCCGCGCGGGGTAGCGGATGCCAAACGTGAAGCCCTTGCCCTTCCTCATGTTATCGGCGATGGTGTCATTCATGACGTCGTACGAGGGTCCGCCATCGGCCCAACCATGCAGGTGTTTGCTGCGTCGGTAGTCGCCACGGAAAAACACAGTTCCGCGTGTCGACTCAGGTGGCTTCACGTCGTAGCAAAGTGGACCACCGTCATTTTGATCTGCAAAGCGCTGACCGAGACCAAATCCAGCCACCGCCTTGTACTTTGAGGGCCGCACCGCGTCCAGGCTGGGATAATACAAACCAGGCCCACCAACGGCATTCGCTGCTGTCTCAGCCGCCTTTGGTATTTCTGCAAGAGCGAGGGGATAGTACGGTTGGGCCGCAAAGCGAAACCCTTTGGATGTCATTGGCGGCTTCCCCAAATCATACGATCCAGGACCAACTACATCACTTGCTGCGGTCTTGGGCTCATAAAAGGTACGCGGCCCAAGCGAAAACCCTTTCTTGTAGTCCCAATCAAACTCCGACGGCAGGAGATAAACGCCTGGACCTGGTGCAAAATTGACTGCAGCCCGCATAGTCTTATTATCCGGCACGGTCTGGACGGAGGGGCGAAACACGGGAGAACACCGTATACGCTTCTGCATGATTCGGCTTACATCACCGTAATCTGCGGGACCAGGGCCCGTGAACCAGTTGGCCCTGAGCTGATTATAACGACGACCAAAATGTGGACCATCGTAAAGACGCAGTTTTGGGGGTGCAAAACGTGCAGCGATTGTGGTGGGGTCGTCATAGCTCCCAGGGCCCGGTCCACTTTCTTCCGCAAGAACCTTGTGCACGGAAGTGATGTATTCCTTTGGATTCGGCACAACATCACCAAAGCGGGGCACATTGTATGCCCCAGGCCCTGGCACCATGTCACACGTAGTCAATAGCTTTGTCCGCTGGCCAAAGTGTGGCCCTTTCCCACTCGGGTCAAAGGAGGAGGGGATGGTGTACTCGCCAGGGCCCACACCACTACTTAACTGCTTATATTGAGCTTTACAGTACATGGAGAACGCTGGGGTATCGGGTGACTGTGCAAGGCTATACTGCTTCGGTAGTGGGGGTATGTCGCTTCGCTTGGCCTTCCCTGCGGTCTGCCCGCGTTTCCGCTCACCCTTTGCCCGCGTGGCTTCAGGCAAACCCAAACCGCCAGGTGGACCAAACACAGTTGAGCGACACTGACCCACTGTGGATGGAATTTGGTACTCACCGGGGCCTACGGTCGTCTCCTGCGGCCGCCTGGGATACTTATGCAGTATCGACTTCTCCGGAATGCCCTTTCCGGGCGGTGGATAACTCTTCGGCCCGGGACGGTGGTCGCGCAGCCGCAGATGTGCCCAGGGCGTGAATCCTCCAAGCAACGCCATCCCTTTTTTTTTCTCCACGCAGCCCACCGAAACACGCACGCACAAACAAAGAAAAAAAAGCAAGAGACAGAAAACAACAACACAGCAAACACTGATTGATACGAATAGGCCCATGCAGCATGCATCCAAAAACAACAACAAAAAACGATAAACGCCAAAGAACAGCAAAGAGGGTGCCACCGCACACCCTTCCCTGGAGACAAGAGAGAGTGTCTGCCCTTCTCCCTCCCTCCCTCCCCGTTTTTTATTTGTTGTCTTTTTTTTTTAGTGTTCACACTTGCAAAATAAACAAAACAAAACAGAGCTGTCACACAACACCCCGTCCACGCAAAACGGTTTAGGCAGTGACCTCCTCGGCCTCCTCGACGACGCGCGTCTCACCCTCGGCCGAGGCGGGAATCTCGCCATGGGCATTCAGAAGCGCCTGGGCGTCAAACCGGGGCGTGCGGATCACCTTCACCTTGCGGATGCGCAGGTCGCGCAGCGGCACGATGGGGTTGCAGCGCTTTGACAAGCGGTCGCGCAGGATGTTGCGGGTCAGCAGCGTCACCGCCTCGTTGATGCCCACCTTCGCCAGGCGCTGGCGGATGAGGCTCGTGATGCGGTGGCGCACCCACTTCACCAGGCGCGTCTTAGCGTAGCAGTTCTTCGAGACCTGGTTGCTCTGCTTCTTCGTGAAGGCAATCACGAAGAGACGCAGGGTATAGCCGTCGGCAGTCTTGGCCTCCACAGCCGCCTCGATCGTCGTGCACCACTTGCGCAGCAGGAAGTAGACGCGGCCGGACGT